GCTCATCAATTGTGGGGAAGATATTCAAGAAAGCTTTTACATCTTCCCAGATGCGGCAGTAGGTAGCAGAAACTAATATTAAAAACATTCAGTCATTCTTACTATCTTTCCTATAGGCAGGCTTTTAATTTTTTTCTAATTTAGTAAGTCCAAAGTTGAAAAGAGACTGTAGACCCAGTAGTGCCCAGCCAGCTATCTTTAAGCACTTATTTCTGCTAGAACTACCACAAAGAAACTTGCTGCACTCCAATTGGAGTGATTGCTTGATCAAATAATATTCATAGTTGAGTGTCAGAAGGGGAAACCACTCCTGTCCTTGACTTCTAACCTGGAGGGTCCTGGGTCAGCTGTGTTATGCCTCCCTCTTCTCAGAGATGAATGCTTATATCCACCCAAATGTGTAAAGGGGTCCATTTCTGTTGGATTATTTTATTTGGAGCAGAATTGTGAACTCACAGGAAGTGTTTGTTTAGCTTTTGTGAATACTGCCAGTTTCTCAAGTGCTTGCACTAACCTATAGGGAGTTTTGTTGATGTAGAAGCTGAAAAGGCTGAGGTGCACACAGCCATCAGTTGGTCAGGACTGAAGTTAGGGACACCCTCAATGTCATTAGTGGGTACAACCTAAAGGATTCAAAGCTGTTTGACAGATGTCCTAGTGTTACCTTAATAAATCCTCTAGCTTCATTTACTCTTGGCTGAGTTAAAATTTTATTCGGGAGTTCATACATATGTTGAGAAATAAAAAGTCTCCTGCTACTTTTGCTAAGGAGAATACTTCTGCTGTATCGGATTATGATAACAGTTGCTTGGATTACTGTTCAAGGACTTGAAAGCCACTTTTGCTGACTCTTCACTTGGTGACTGACTGGAATTGGATGAGAAGGCTTTACTTCTGCCATCATATTTTTGTCTCCTTGCTATAATCTTTGTGCCAGATGCTACAAAGCTTTACATAGAAACATGTGGAACACTTGAGAAATGATTGGTCCAGAACTATGATATAGTTCAGATATGGGACTGGAGGGGATGGTTTCAGGAAGGGGATAGTTCAGTGGTAGAGTGTTAGTATGCACAGGTCCTGGGTTGATTCTCAGCAAGGCAAGAAAAAAATCAGACATGGACTAGTTCTGAAGCAAAAGAAAGGTGAAAGTTTATTACAGAAAAGAAATACAATATACTTAATAGATGATGTAGCCTCAAACGGAAATGTACATTTCATTTTATGGAGAATGCTTTAAAAAAATCATATTTGGGCTGGGAAGGTGACTCAGTGGTAGAGTGCTTGCCTTGCATGCATGAGGCCCTGGGTTCGATTCCTCAGCACCACATAAGAAAAAAGAAAAAAGCCGGAAGTGGTGCTGTGGCTCAAGTGGCAGAGCGCTAGCCTTGAGCTGAAGAGCTGAGGGACAGTGCCCAGGCCCAGAGTTCAGGTACCACGACCGAACACCCCCCCCCCAAAAAAAAATCATGTTCTTTTTTTTAAGGAAATGGAGCAGACTTCCAGTGTGCATGTAGCCATTGGTACTTAGTTGAAAATGTTCCTCCCTATACTGTAGGTAGTTCACTCTTCAGTGGAGTATAATAGCCAAAAACAAGTACTTGCTAGCGATATTTACCATGGGTTTGACCATGTGCACCTTACAGAAGGATCCCAACTGTAAATAACAAAAGCTTACAATAGCTCTAGTTACAAAGTTTTGGAAAAATTGTTTTGATAACTGACAGAGTATTATTTCCATTACCTGTGGCATTTTAGAATAATAATTATGATTGGCAGCATTATAGCCACACTATGAAGCTCTGCTAATTACAATTAGGAACACATGTATACAAACCTGTTAAAAGCATCACTAACAATTTTAATTTAGAGGACACTGGCCCTCCCAGGTCCAAGGCACCTTGCAATGAGGGTTACAGACCCATGCCCTTGGGCCTCTCACACCAGAATGGAGCTGGTCAGTGCAAATGAGCAGCAGTTCATAGATGCATCCATCAGCTGGAGGGAACAAAGAAGAAATTACGGTTTTCCAATCCAAATTTATTCCAGGTTAAGACATTAACTAAAAAGCAAGCTGATTCTTGGGTTCTGCCATAGGTTTCATAAGGCATTTGGGCTTTTGTGTTATGAGATGCTCCATCCCTATAATTAACACTTGAGGGGTTAATTTATTCCATCTCTTCCATGCTTCCTAAGATAAACAGATATCCACCAGTGTCAGTGCAGATGTAATCCTTTCACTACAATAGTTTGCATCTGTCCTTTCTGGATTTCAGAAACCAAGCTCCTCAAAGGGTTTACTGAAAAATTATTTATTTGATGTATATAAAGAATATAAAACATATACTAAAAATTGAGTTTCTGTTCCTAACAATCCTTGTTTGAAATGCAGTCTGGACTTCTTAGCAGGCAGGGAAATTCAGATCCCAGAAAGAGCGATGCAGTGATAAAGGATGGGACAACCCTACAAGGCAAGGCGTAAGTGGTAGAGTCCCAGCTGTGAATGGAAAAAAGCCCAGTGAAAGTTTGAGGCCCAGAGTTCAAGCCCTAGTACTAGAATGCAGCTTTTAAAAAAACAACAACAACCAAGCTGGGCACCAGTGGCTCACACCTGTAATCCTAGCTACTCGGGAGCCTGAGATCTGAGGATCATAGTTCAAAGTCAGCACAGCCAGGAAAGTCCATGAGACTCTTATCTCCAATAACCACCAGAAAACCAGAAGTGGCACAGTAGCTCAATTGGTAGAACACTTGTCTTGAACTGAAGAGTTCAGGGACAGCACCCAGGCCCAGAGCTCAAGCGCCACAAACAACAACAACAATAACAAACACATAAACTCCTATTCATGTAAAGCATGTAAAAGTACCTGTAACTTAACATGTACAAATAGGAGTCTTGGGAAGGGAGTGTAACTGTATTTCAGTTTACTTTCTGGTTTTAGTTTTTGAGTCTGGTGCCTTTGAAACCAAGCTTTTAAGACCCCAGGCCTAAAGTCCAGGAATCCCAAGTTAGGTTTAGCCACTCACCCCCATAAGCCAAATAAATACGACATGGTGAAGAGCAGAGAAAGGAGGTTTATTGCATGACAGCCATAGGAAAGCAGCACTTCAGTAATCGTCAGCCATCTTCAAAGGTACAGACATTAGCCTCAAGTTAAATAGGGAGAATTGGGGAAGTAGATGAGGAACATATGTATAGTGAAGACAGTCCCAAGTCACTCTAATGGCTTCGTTGTCTCTGGGATGTTTGGGGATAGAACAGGAAGAAGTTGCTTGGCCAGTGGCCTCCTGAGTTTTTGGGTGTTTCCTTTAAGATGATATGAAGACATTTTCTTTCTGAGGGGTAGTTTGCCTTCCCTTAGAAGATGCTTATCAGTGAATCTGGTCTTTCCTGGAGCCCAAGGTGATCACAAAGTGACTACAGCAGAGACTAGCTCAGATCGAAGGGCACATACACAAAGATGGGGGACTTTTAGTTCATTCACAGGGCCCAGCAAAGGCACCTTTTAATACTTGTTGAAATAAGGCAATTTCCTTTTCTCCTCACTTACCCTGACTCACAGGGTGCTGGGGTTACAGAGTGCATTACTAAGCCATCCCTCCCTGCCTCCCTTTGAAGCTTTCTTTGTAATCTGTGTCCCAGAGGACTATGCATGTTCACAGGCAACAATCAAAACTGCCCAATCATACTCAGATTGCTTCAGCATCCCTAGCCTCCAGCAAAGTCAGACCCCCATCCCTGCAGTCAGTGACTGGTATTTGATCTGGCTGGCTCTAGAATCTCTAGGATATATAGTGAAGGAGTGAATTTCAGAGAGAAGCAAGGGTAGGAGGTAGACTTACTGTCTCCTGAGGAGTCTGCAGCTGGATCACAATCCAGGTGAGGTAATTTTGGAAGTATCACACCAGGAAAATGACTACACTTGGACTGGTTTTTGTTTGTTTGTCTGTAGTTCTGTAGTGTCTGTAGGATTACTGGTCCATTGCACCAAGGAAGACCATCCCAAGCACAAAAGAAACAGCAGAGTTCTGACTGCACTGGGAGAGGGTGAAGCTTAAGGGAAGCTCACTGTGAGGTAGCTCTATGTGCAGAGATCCAGCAGGTCTGGTCTGCAGAGGAAGCCGTGTTCAGACACTACACCTGAAGCTGCCTGGGTGGGGATGGAGGAGGATGCAATTTTGTCAAAGGAACTGAGCTCCTGCAGCCTACTCTACTGTTTCTGGGTGCTGAAGTTACAGGAGTGCATCATGAAGTCCATCCATTGTTTCGTTTTTCTTGTTTTCTTTTTCTTTTGAATCAATGTGTGCTGGCGTGTCGTTTAGGAAGCAGTATTTCCCAGTGAGGATGCTGTGGTCACTCAGAGGAGGGGTGGTGATGATTCTTGGTGGTGGTTTCAGTGCTCCCTCAAGCTCCTGTCTACTTGCTGCTGGTTTTCTCCAGGTCTGCCATCCTAGTCTGGATTGGCAGGTAGGTTTCATTTTCCTAAATGGTATTTTTAGAGCTTATCCCCCACCCCAACTCAAGGGATTGAGTCCCCCAGGTGTTGGAAGCCAACATTCACCATGATTCAGTCACACCTCTCATTCAGGGCACTCAGAGACATCTGATGGCCTTGTGTTGGGTGAAGGCCTCTAGCCCCAGGAAATCCAGAGAGTCCCTGGACAATACGGCTCCTCTCCTTGACTGGCCCAGAAGCAGCCTGGAGTGGCTTCCCACTTTCGTCCCATCAAGGTAAATATGAGTGAATGCCGGGGGTTGGGGGCGGGGGGGGGGGTGTCGAGGGATGGAAGGCGTCATTTCAGATTCCCCTTTAGTCTTCTTCTTGCTCTAGTGCAGGGTTAATGCCCATTGTAGGGGCAGCGCCCCCCAGACAGCAGGAAGCGCCGCTCAGCCCCCTGTCCCCGCCTCCACCCCATCAATCTCGGGGCCCTTCCCCACCGCGTGGCCCCGCCCTCGGCGCAGTGCGCAGGCGCGGCCGGGACCAGCCCCCAGACGCCGCAGTCCCGGGCGCCAGAGACGCCGCCGCAGCATCCGTGTGGAGGGTGTCTCGGGGCCGCTTTCCTCGTCCACGCCTGTGGTCTTCCGCCCTCGGCCAGCGCGATGGCGAAGCCGCTGACGGACATGGAGAAGCGGAGGCAGATCAGCGTGCGCGGCCTCGCGGGGCTGGGCGACGTGGCCGAGGTGCGGAAGAGCTTCAACCGGCACCTGCACTTCACGCTGGTCAAGGACCGCAACGTGGCCACGCCCCGCGACTACTTCTTCGCGCTGGCGCACACGGTGCGCGACCACCTGGTGGGCCGCTGGATCCGCACGCAGCAGCACTACTACGAGCGCGACCCCAAGGTGAGGCGGCCGCGCTTCCCCGCGCCCGGGCCCGGGCATCCCGCCGCGCCGCCGCCCCGCCCCTCGACGGGGCCGCCCGCCGCCCGCTGCCCGGCGAGCCGCGGCCTGCACTCCGTGAAGTGACCGCGAGCGATGCACCCTCCCGGAGAGGGGTCCGGCCGGGGGGGGGTCACCCCTCCGCGCCCTCCCTCCCTCCCTCCTGTTCCCGCACACCTACAGCCCTCCTCCTCGCCCCTCGGTGGCTGGCTTTGGGTGGGCGCCCACCTCCTCCGCACTCGGTCCTCGCGAGTCCGTGGCACAATCGCGCGGGCCGGCGGAAGGCCGCGGGAGCCCCGCGCCTGCTGGGGGTGGGGGGAGAAGAGGGTCCGGGAGGAGCGTCTGTCTTTACTGCAAATCTCCGAGGCCTGGAGTGCCGGTGGAATGTTCTGGCAAGTTTTTAGCTGTGAGTTTGCAGGGGTGGCTGCACTGCTGATGCTTTTTCCTTTCTTGCTCCCTCTCCCTCCCTCCCTACCCTTTTGTTTTTCCTGTGGCAGCGAGAAGGGAGGTCTGGGACTAGGCCTCTTGGTTTTTATGGGCTGGAAGGTGGTGAGAGAAGCAATCTGCAGGGAATTAGGGGTTTTTGTGTTGTGTGTTGGGTAAGCCTGATGAGAAAAATCTTGGTGATGCTGCTTACAGGGAGAGAGATCCAAAGCCAGAGATGGGAAAGTACTCTTTTGTCTTTGAGGTTCTTACACTATCTCAGAGAACTTTTCTTGGGTTAAAGTTCATAGAAATTGCTATTAGTAATTGTTAATTTTTTATAGTTTGCAAATTTTGTCTGCAGTAGAAAACTGCTCTTCATTGTTCTAAACGCTAAAACATTAATGTATCCTTCCAGATCTTTCTCTGGCCTTAAATATCACACATGTATATTCGTATGTTTGCATGGTGTTGTGGCTTTTCTGTTTATCAATATGTAACTTTTTCATTTAAAAACAGCAGTTCCAAGTCAGTCTTGTTTTCAGTTTGATGGGTGTATCATAGTCTTGGACAGCTTCCTGTTGTCATCTGTTTTGCTCTTGACCATAGAGAGTTGTGTCTCTCTTAGGCTAAGGTAGGGTGGAACTGGGAAGGAGATAGATCCATTCGCAGGTCTGAGGCCATTTAGCAAAGATTTGATTTGCAAAATTCACCTGGGCACATTTGCTGTGTTGATGGCATTTTATAGTATTTTTGTAGGGCATTAATATATGTTTGATACTTGCCAAGAGTAAGATTGATTGCTTTTCCAAACTTCCTGGGGCTTTCTTTGTTGTTGTTGTTGTTTTCTTAAATAAAGACAGTAACAGGACAGATATTTTTAGCATATCAATTAGACTTTTTCATATTTAGTATGCAAGACAGCTTAGGATGAAGTGGCTCCAAATGGCTAAAGCAGGTTATTACAACAACAGTTTAGGATGACTGCCAGGGAAACTGGCCAAGGGGCAGTGGCCTCCCCAGAATTCCCTGCTAATAGAGGAGCTCTGATAGACAGAGTCATTTGAATTGTCCAAGCATCGGATGACAAGTACAGAGCTTTGCTTGCACATTCAAGGGCACTGCCCAGGAGCCAAAGGACACCTTAGAGCTCTTGTAGTGATGGGCTCAGGGATTAAAGATTCTGCCCTTCATGGGCAGAATCAGCTCCTCTATCAGAACAGGTTTTCCTATCCTCAGTGAGAAGTCTGTCTTGATTGTCTGTTGCTGGGTGGAAATCTAAAAGTTCCATGTTTGCTTAGTAAGGGGCCTGAAACTAGCCTGGCAGGGCTTATGAGAGGAAGTAGGCTTCCAATAAAATCACACAGCCATCTCTCTCAATAGCTTGAGACCCAGACTCAGGGTACCACTGCAATGTTAAATTTGATCGAACATAGCTTTTTATTATTTTTGTCTTTAAAAATGATTGCTAGAGAGGAAACTAGAAAATAGATAAGCATGTAGGAAAAGTTAATCTCACCACCTAGTAATAGCATGTAAATGTTCTAAATATTTAGTGTTCTATATATTTTTTTCTGGCAGTACTGGGGTTTGAACTCAGGACCTTCTATTTAGTAGGTGGATATTGGTTTTTAATCACATAAACTAGGTTTGGGTTGAATCTATTGTTTCGTAACTCTTTTAGTTCTTTATTTTTAGTAACAGCAGAAATAAACTTGAGAGCTTAGAGGAAGATTTCTGTTTTGTTTTGGAGACAAGATTGCTATGTTACTGAGGCTGCCTCAATTTTAGATTACAGAGGTATGCATCACCTTTTGGAAAAATTTTTTCAAGCAACCCACCTGGCAAATCACGTCAAAAATTTTGGCTAAAAATGAGAGCTCTGAGCCAGGTGGTTTACACCTATAATCCTAACTATTCAGAAGATTTGAGGATGTGAGAATTGTGGTTCAAAGCTAGCCTGGAGCCTGGCGTCGGTGGCTCACACCTGTAATCATAGCTACTCAGGAGGCTGAGATCTGAAGATTGCAGTTCAGAGCCAGCCCGGGCAGGAAAGTCCGTGAGACTCTTATTTCCAATAAACCATTCGAAAACTGGAAGTGGAGCTGTGGTTCAAGCAGTAGAATGCTCGCCTTGAACTGAAGAGCTGAGGGACAGCACTCAAACCCAGAGTTTAAGCCCCACGACTGACAAAAAAAAAAAAAAAAAGCTAGCCCGGTCAGGAGAGTTTGGGAGACTCTCATCTCCAGTTAAACACCAAAAAAAGCCAGAAGTGGAGCTGTTGTTCAAGTGCTAAGCTCTAGCCTTGAGTAAAAATGGTCAGGGACAGTGCCCAGGCCCTGAGTTCAAACCCTAGGACTGGAAGGAAAAAGGAAAAGAAAAAAAAAGGAAGTCTGTACTTGGTAAGAGGAAGCACTTGTAGTTTGGTCAGAAGTCCGGTCTGAAATGGTAGTCCCTAAAACTCCACACAGCTCAGAGATGTAAGAACTGGGAGGCAAAGGAGGGTCTTGTATGAGTCAAACTCCTTTTATAATTCTTTCTTCTGGTGCTGGTGATTGAACCTGGAACCTTGTATGTACCTGGTAAGTAAACACTTTACCACTGAATTACCCCAGTCTCTTTTAACCCCAGTCTCTTTTTAGTCCTGGTTTTACCACTCATTTGCAGCCACTGATGGTTTGAGTGGATTTTTTTTTTAAACAAGTTCTTCCTGTGTATCATGTGTTAGCTTGGAACTCACTGTGTATCCCAGGCTGGCTTTGAACTTTCTACCCTTCTGCTTCTACTTTCCAAGTGCTGGAATTACAGGTATGTGCCCCCATACCTAGCTGGGTGTATGTCTTCACCTCAGATTTTTTTCCTTTTTTCTTTTTGTGTCATATAACAAAACAGTTTATGAATAAAATGCATCTTTTTTTCTGTTTTTTTATTGTAAAGATACTGTACAGAGGGGTTACAGTTACATGAGTAAGGTAATTAGTACATTTCCTATGGAGCATTGTTACCCCCTCCTCTCTTCTTTGTTTTCCCCCTATTATTCCTTCCCTTCCCACCTCCCCAACTCCTTCTTCTCCCCCTCCTCCACCAAGTTGTAAAGTTCATTTTCAACATAGTGTCTTGTACATCTCATTCCTTCCCAATCTTTAAAATGAAGGGAGTTAATTAAGCTAAATCTATTTGAGATTTCTGGTCCTTCTGACATGTTACAGTTTTGTGTTTGCTCATAAAATGTTTCCAGTTTAAGTTGACATTCTATCTTCATCCAGAAACAATTTATTACATCTTGCTAAGCAAGATATAACAGAAGGTTGAGTTTACTAAAGGCCTCAAAGAGAAAGTTGGGATGAGACAGGAAGAATAGAAAGTACAAGGTCAGGATACAAAATGCAGCCATGGCTACCAAAGCAAATGGCAGATAGTGCCCATTTATGGAAGTCACCAGATCCCATTGACACCTCTGGAATGCACAGATGCTTACTTTCTTCCAGGGGTTTTGGTAAACCTGGTTCCATACTAAGTAGTCACAGACCTGCCACACCTTTGCAGTGGGTTTGTTGGTCATTTATAACTTGGATCTATAAACTTGGCCTCATGGTAGTAATAGATTAAGGAAAAGCAACTCTACCATGGGGCCCAAACTGCTTTCTGTCTTAGATATTTCGAATAAGATAATCACAATGAATATGACTAGTTTTACAGCCTGGATGGGCCCAGGAGATAAAGGAAGATAATCCAGGGCAGTATTTTATAGCCACGGCTGTTCCAGGATCAGGTCTGAGGTTTTCTTTTAGTTAGTGGTAAAACTAGCTGCTTAAAGCTTTTTAAAATTCCTTCTTGGTGTGATGTATTTCCACTTGTATGGCTGATGTTGACCTTGAGTCCTTTGAGTAGGCTTCCCTGACAGCAGATAACTCAGTTATTTCCTCTGGACCAAAGTGGTAATAGGCTGCTGTTTTGGATTACTGATAACCCTGACTTTAGTCAAGTGTAAGGTAGAGTTAAGCCATCATTTTACCAGGTATGGACTCTCATCTGTATGCACCATAATTTTTCTTGGACCACTGTCTGGCCTCTGGACACTGTAGATTACTGTCCATCATTCTGGATATTTCTATGAAGATGTTTTGGGGGTAAGATTAACACTAAAATCAGTGTATATGATTTTTAAATTAAAAATTGGTTGCTACTGACTGGGTGTTCTACAATTCAGTTTAACTCTTGACTTTGTCTACCTGGAGTTAGTACAAACCTGCTTGCTTGCTTGCTTTTTGACTGTCTGGGCTTGGGCTTGAACTCAGGGCCTAGACACTGTCCCTGAACTTCTTTTGCTCAAGGCTAGCAGTCTATCACTTGAGCCACAGCTCCACTTCTGGCTTTTGTGTTTATTTGGTACTGTGCAATCAAACCCAGGGCTTCATGCATGCTAGGCAAGCACTGTACCATTAAGCTACATTCCCAGCCCCATAAACCTGTTTCACTTAGATACCAGTCATAAGTTAGAGCCTAGATTCTGGGTTTTTTAATTTTATAAAGACTGCTCA